GTCCACCTTCAGGCATGCAAGTTTATACACAAATAGCGTTGCAATATCGGTTGGCCAGTAAAGTTGGACTTAAGCGGTGCAAGGAAAGCCATCAATAAATAATAACGAAAGGTCGTCACACATAGTCTGGAAGTAGGACTCACGGGTCAACTCTGTGGTGTTCTGCTGATGTTAACATTTTGACATCATCATCTTTTAACGGTCAGATTGATTATCTAGGTCAGCCCGAGGCCAGGGCGACTGGAGCTGACCAGTTTTTCCTGTGCAACTCGATTCCAATTTACCGACCAACCGAAATTCTAATGTAATTTGTATATCAACATGCATGGCCTGGAGATGAAGTTTCGCAAACAAGCTTGTTTGCATTGAACCGACGTTCCGACCATTTTTTTCGCCAACACGTAGCCATGATAGGCTGTCCAACAATACATGTCGAAGCTGATCCAAAACAACTTGTGTTGCAGTACTTTTTACACAATCCACCCAGTCACACACCAGGTTCAACCACTGACAAGTCGATCTCAGGCTGTGTCATTTGGAGAATACTACGAAGGCGACCAACGGAACATCTCGTTTTAGAATCCAGTAGTAAAAAGCTAAGATGGGGAACAGCCATACCGTCGGCAAATCCTCCCGTAGTAGACCAAGTGGAACAATACGGAAAATCACAAGACGGAAAATAGTCTACCGAGTTCGTTATTCTGTAACCGTTGTTGAATTTACACCAGGGTTATTTCGGATTCATTTTTCAAAACCCTTAACCACGTAATTTCGTGTACCGGTTTTGGCTGCTGTCTCATGACTGCTCATTTAGATGAAGGAGTAAAGAAGAGATTAGTATGTTCTAATCAGTGTTAGGATGAAAACAGAAAATGAAAGAAAATTGAGGTAGTAGAAACATTGAGTAGATAAACGCTGGACCCTGCATCCCTCAACAATTTCAATCAGTGTATCCAACGGTTGGTCACAATGATCCCTAGGTCCCCATTCAGGGACCTAACACCACCTATGTGAACAACCCACCTGGTCAGGGATTTTACATCCTCACGCCAGGTTTTTTGACCACAATGACCTCGGAAAACAGAACGAAGTGGCAATGCACTCGATATTCGTGAAACAGGACCACAGCCAACGTCGTCTATAGAGGTCGATCACTTACTGCATTGGGCACGCGTGAGTGCACCCTCAAGGATAAGTATCACCGAGTACAGAGCGATCGACTGGGTGGAATGTTGCTTTCAGGTCGAGGAAGATAAAAATAGTGAGTCTACGAAAGGAATGTCAGTGTTCCAGAATTCGGCGAAAGGTGAAAAAGTGGTCTACACAACATCCACCGAAAATAAACCTAGCCTGGTTTTGACGACTGCACAGTTCACCTGCGGTAGACAAACGACGAAGTATGATGCCCACAAGAAGTTTAGAGACAATGTTGATTAGACTAACTCCCCTGTGGTTTTCACATGACAATCTGTCACCTTTCTCCTATCAGTAAGATGATCGATTCACACCATTCGGTTGGAACCTGCTCCCTTTCCCACATTGAGCCCAGGAGCTTCATCAACACCAAGACTAACGCTGAGCCTCCATACTTAAACGCCGATGAAAACAGCCCATCAGGGTCGGATGCATCATAATTTTTGAGACAACTTATCTCTCGGGAAACTTCCATTTTAGATGGAGAACTAGCATCAACTGATGGCATTTTCCCAGTTGAGGTAGGTGGTGATAAGTTAGATGGGAGTTAGTTGAACTGAACCTAATCAGACGGAAAAGAGTGCGACTGTTAACCATAGGCGCAACTTTATCTCTGTGCATTTTGCTACCCATCACTTCTCACAATCATTTCCCGGGCTCTTACTGAGTGAGAGTTTCAGGGATTTGCATGGTGCCGTGTACGACATTTTCAGAAACAACAATAGTATGACTTTGTTAACTTCAGAGACCTGTGCTGATAAAATGTTTTGAAATCGTTTAGGGACCAGCGAGAAAAACCCGTATCAAACTCACATATAACCCAAATCCCAAGGTGGAATATGATGATGTTTTCGAAATGCCTCATCCGTGGCCAATACACGAGCATGCTCATCAAACATGAGGAACAGATTATCCACTCGGGGCGACGGTGCGGGTGGACCCGATTTGGGTGGTTCGAGTCCGGTGCGTTGTTTCACATAGGTTGCCAGATCCAATTCGATCAGTCGGGATGTGCGATGTCGTAGAAGCAGAAGACAGAGTGTGTCTGTCAAATACGTGCAGGCTGCGTGAGCAACTTCCGGTTGTTCGGATGCCATCAAATTACACGCGACTCGAAGCATTTGCACAGGCGGAGAAGGTGGTGGTGGGGCTAGCTGTACACAATTTGGTTTCCACGGGGCATTCAGTGGAGGATCGACCGGGCGGGG